ATCTCAGGTATGTTATTGCAGGGAGAGGTCAGGGACTAGAGCTGGGCAATAAGGGACTGCACCTCCCTGGCCAGGGTGACTCGACTCAGGGATGAGCCTGAGAGGCAGCTGTGGGATTCTGCTGGAATGTGATGGGAAGATGTTTCCATGCAGGCTGTTGCTAAGTCTGGGCTGCTAGGGGCCTCAGAGAATGACAGAAGCTCAAAGGGAAAAGAAGCAATCTCTAGCACTGTGGGTCCCAGGGCCTGACTGAAATCCACACTACTCTTGGGCTTCTCAGTTTTGTTATGCCAGGCAATTCCTTTTCTCTTCCTTTAAGTCAGTTTGAATTGTGTCTTCTTTGCAATCTGAAGGGGTCAAGATGCAGCTGCAGAGGGCCAGGGCCTAGTCAGAGCCTAGAGCTGAGAGAAGGCTCACCTGGCCAACAGCAGGTAGCGGCTGAGGACACGCAGCAGGGCTCGGGTGCCCCCACGGTGGAAGTGCAGAGCAGGCAGCGAGCCTCCAGCCTGAGTCACCAGAACCAGGTAGGCCCAGCTGAGGCCTGGCTTGGACCGGCGTATGGACTTGAGCTCCCCCAGGCTCACCGAGAAGGCCCAGGAGCCCTGGGTGGAGCTTGGCTCTGCACCTAGGAGGACAGCACTGTGTTGGAAGCAGCGTGGAAGTACAGAGGCAGCCAGGTCAGCACAGTTGTCTCCTGAGGTCCCACCAAAAGTGGTTCCCATGTCCTAATCTTTTATAACTGAGCCACCTTATATTTCTTAGAGAATAAAACAATAAAATGGGAAAGAAGCCTGGTAGATATGTGCCTGTTCCAGAACCTTCTCAAGTTCCTTACAACCTTCAGGGTGAAGACTATATTCCTTAATCTGCTACTTGAAGTCCTTCAGGTCTGTTCCAAATCAGATTCCTTTCTGTCTCACCTCCAACCTCCTTTTCAGTTCAGACCCCACACTCAAACCACAACACCCCCTGCACTCCTTCTTCTGGCCTTGCTGGGAAAGAAAATTCCTGAGTGTCCCTCAGAGAGGTAGGACGTGACCAACCCTGATAACCCAGTTATCAGCCCTGTTGTAGCTGATAACTGGCTGCATCTGTCACACCCACCAGCCTAGAAACCTTCAGGGGTAGGACCCAAGGGGGTGCCCGAAGCCAATCCACTCCACTCTCCTGGGACAGGAAGGTGGTGCCAGGTGGGTATTCCAACTAAGCAACAAAATCTTTGCCACTGAGGGCAAGATGTGTTCCACCTGCCTCCCAGGGACACCAGTTCAGCCTACCTTCTGTGGGTTCTGAGTGATGTGGCCGTGGCCTCACTGTGCTGATGACAGCCCAGTCAGGTTCATAGCCTGGGTCAAAGGTAGGTTCCTCCTCAGAGGTGCAGGAGTCACCCCCACTGGAGTCCTTGGGGGAGGAAAGGAGGAGAATGAGGTGCTACGGATTCAGAGTTTCCAGATCTGAGCCTAGAGTCTCTGTTAGAAGGCAGTCCATTTGAACAGGGAGTAAGGCTAACAGTGGCACAGCACTCGAGCAAGGTCACCCAGCATAGCCAGGACTTGAACCCAGGTCTTCCAGTGTGTAGGGATGAATGCTACTGAGCAAGTAGCTTTGCAGTGAGACAGTGAGACAGCGAGACTGCAGTGCTTAAAGAAAGTTGCTAGCACTTAACAGGGAACTGCACTACAAAACCACCATTAGATGCCAATCACAAGCCTGGAGTATGGCTCAGTGGCAGAGCATTGGCCTAGCATGCATGAGGACCTGGGTTCCATCTCAACACCACGAAAGAAAAAAAGAGAAAGAAAGAAGGAAGATACCACTTCATACCCACCAGAATTGCTGAATTAAACAGACGATAACACGCGCTGGCGAGGATGCAAAGAAATAAACCTGCCTACACTGCTCGTGGGAATGTAAAATGGTGCCACTGCTCTGGAAAGCAGTCTGGCAGTTCCTCAGAAGATTAAAAAATAGAGTTACCATGATGAGCCAGCAATCCATTCCTAGGTATGGGCCCCAGAGAAAGAAAAATCTATGTCCACACAAAAACTCAGACATGGTCACAGCATATAATTCATAATGGCCAAAAGATGGAAACTACCCAAACATCCATCAAACTGATAAAGAAGCAAAATACTGCATATCCAGGTGACATGAAGGCCAGATACTATTCAGCCTCATGAAGGAAAAGGGCCACACTACAACATGGATGGTCCTTGCAAGTATGAGTAAAAGGATTGCATGATTCCATTTACAGGAAACATCTCAAACAGGCAAAGTCAAACAAAGAAAATAGATCTGTGGGAGGCCACCTGCCCATGAGCTAAGCATCCCCTCTCAACCTTGAGTAAAGGGGATGTTGATCTGGCATTGCACACCATGCGCTGTGCAAAGCAAGTGGCCTTTACCTTCACTGGGCAAAGAAGTTTGCTTCAGCTCTGGACTTGAGCCAATGTGATTGAACAACCCCCCATTTGAAACCTTATCCCCTGCCTTATTTGATGAAGAACATTATATTGAACCTCCTTTCTGTGTCTCCCTCATAAAAATAAAGAGATTCCAGGTGCACACTCTTTTCCAGTGCTCTCTCCAGTGTGGAAGCTGACTTTTAAGGTCACAGAGCAGTCCCGCTCTCGATATGAAAATTACTTCTGTGTCCTGTGCCTTTTCACCATTTTCTTAGCTTAATGTTGCAGCCAGCTCATCTCGTCAGCACGGGTCATTGGCATAGATCCACAATTACAAGCGGCTATGCACAGACAACAGGGAGTGACCACCAGGAGGCATACTGTTTCTTTGGGGAATGACAAAATGTTTTCAACTTAGTGATGATGGTGAATACATTGGACTACGTGCTTTTTTTTTTTTTTTTTTTAATTTCTAATTAGTTAGAACTACATGCTTTAAATTTTTYACTTTATGGGCTGGGGAACAGCGCTTGCCTAGTATGTGTCAGGCACTGGGGTTTGAGCCTCAGCACCATATAAAAATAAATAAATGAATTTCTTACTGTATATTAAAGTGTCCACCTATATGTAAAAAATAAGTATTTTAAAAAAAGTGTTGGGCTGGGGATGTGGCTCAAGCGGTAGCGCCCTCGCCTGGCATGCGTGCGGCCCGGGTTCGATCCTCAGCACCACATACCAACAAGGATGTTGTGTCCGCCGAGAACTAGAAAATAAATATTAAAAATTCTCTCTCTCTCTCTCTCTCTCTCCTCTCTCTTTAAAAAAAAAGTGTTATGGTGAATTATATCTCAACAGTGAAAAAAAAATTGTTTACTCACAGATTGTTATGAAACTAACAAAATCCCCACTATGGGGGCTGGTACACAATAAGAGCCATAGATGGTGGTTGCTCTTAATGGTGCCAGCTCAGGGGCTGCTGCACAGATTCTGTGAAATGGTGCAGACAAGGGCTGTGCTGAGGGCTAAGTAGAGTGAAAGCCAGTAGTGCTGGTGATAACCCGTGAAAGACAGGAAAGGGACAAAGTATGTAAGAACTGAGGGGAGGGGAGAAGTGGATAAGAAGCCTCAGTGAGCTGTTCTCTACCATGATGGCAGACTACACCCAAGAAATGTCAAACTCCTTCAAGCAACTGGAATGCACAGGCTCAGCTCTCCCATCCCACTCTGGCAAGGCTCCCCCAAGGAGCAAAGGGTACAGGAGCAAGTGTCCTCACAGCCATGAATCTTATGGTCCCCATCCTCTTCCCTTGAATGGGCATTTTCAGCCCATTTCACAAAGAGGAACAGTGGAGCAGAGAGTTCCTAGTTCTCAGCTAGGCTCACACATGCCCCCACAGGTGTCTAGGATGGTACCCAGGTCCCTCAATGCCTCTGCTACTCAGACCTAGAAAAGAGTAAGAAGCGGGATTCGATGGAACCCTACCTTCTTGGAAAAGAGGATTTGGGTGGAATCTCCAGCCTCCTCTACAGGAGCCCAGTGCAGAAGGACGTCATTGTCCTGGGGTAAATGAAGAGGAATTAGTGGGCTCTCCAAACCACCTTAAAGCTTTCAGTGCAGTTTCCCAAATAATGCAGTCACCACCCTCACTCAGCCTTCCACACCCTACCACCCCTGCCTTCTGAAGGCCCTGCTTTCTTCCAGCCCACCTTCTCCACGACACGGATGACGCCAGCGATGAGCGAGTCCGGGTCCTGATGCTTTTTGGCGCTGGTGTGCAGGTACACACCTCCCTTCTCAAACACCACCTGCCGGCCACAACCAGGGAGGGTAAAACCCCGCCAGGGCGGGCTCGTGAAGGGGCGGCACCGGAAGGGAGCCAATGGGAGCGGGCCTGGGCGGAGCTAGTCCCAGGGGCGGGGCCTGGGGCTCTGCGGAGGGGATAGGGAGGGTGTGACCAAACCTGAAGACCAGACCCGCGTTCCGGCGTGGGTGCGCCTTCCAAAGAGGGCGGGGCTAAAAGGCAGGGTGTCCCTCCGGACAGCCAAGCGAAGGGTGACAGCGCGTTTACCAGGGAATGGTGTTTGCTAAGGCTTTGCCTGGTTCCCATAACCCCTGCACAGCCAGTAGACTACCGAAAGGGGGAGGTTTGTATAGACAGAAGCGAAGGAATGGGTTCTGAGTACTTACCCTGTAGCCAGATCCCTCCATAGTTGCCACAGAGGCCCCACTGCCCCAGCTTCCTTCTTTTCCGGGTCAGTGTGGTGTCACATCCGGAAAGGACACTCCCCCTCAAGTCCAGATGGTGGTAGCGCCCTTACCATTCTAAAGCAGGAGTGGGTGAGACCACTTTTCAGAATGGGGTAGTTGAACTTGAACTGCAAGGGTTCGAGTCACAAGGCATAGACGTTGAAGGTGGAGCTGTCAGAGGGTGCGCAGGCGCAGCGTCTCCGCTCTCGCCACGCAGTAAACAAGTGGGAGGGTCCAAGAGCTCCGCCYCCCCTAGCTCGAGTTCGCCCCAAAACGTCCACTTATTTTTCCATGCTGTATACTGGCATCGAAGTCAAAGAGGTGCCATTTTGCTCAAGGGCACGGCCCTAATAGGTCGGCCGAGGCCATGTTAATGCGGGGCAGTCTCATCTCTCCGCGGGGCMCGAAAGCGAGGTGTTGGAAAAGAGGAACAGATAAAGGTGAGAGGAGATGTACACAAGACGTTCGGAGGGGCTCGGGATTACGGGATGCAGCCGTAAATGCCCCCGGAAACGAAGCTGTCCCAGACGAATTCCTGAGTCACCGTGGAAAGTGGGCTGAGCCGCCATTTTGAAGCTGGGCAAACCGAAGCAAGAAATGCTGCCATATTGGATATTTGCCAGTCTTGTGCTGCTGGGGGGTCGGTTGGTGGGAGGGAGTGTCCATACACATTGGGAGAAAATGAAGCCAGACTGGATGCCATGTCGCTGACGGGCTCTGATTTCCTCCATTTTTTGTGTCTGCGGAAAAACTTGATTACGGGTGAGGGATGTCAGGTCACTTGCCTGAGTTTATTACAATCCTGTGTGAGGATCTGCCGTCAGCCATATTTCTTGGGGGCAAATCGAAGTGGCCTAGGCTTGCGCGGAAACCTTTCTTTCACCATCTCATTTATGGGCACTCTGCTGTTACTATTGCCCCCATTGGTCTAGATGAAGCATCTATTGTTGCCATTTTGGTCTCAGGAGACCCGAATAAGGGAGGAGGAGTGTGCGGAGTGGAGGAGGGGCAACTACACGGAAGTGACGCAGCGCCGCCATGCCTTTTGAGGGCGGCGACGGCGCCGGGCCGGCCATGCTGGCTACGGGCACGTGAGTGGAGGCGGCGTTGTGAACCGCGGTATGGGGAGGATTTGGCGTTCCGGAGGCAGAGGGGGCGCTGGGAGGGCTATCGGTTCACGGAAGGGGTACGGCCTGCATCAATCAGCGTGCAGAGATCGTCCAGCGACCTTTGGCTGAATGCTGGAAGAGAGTCTCCCATGGGAACCGTCATGTCTGACCTCAGGAAAATCCTAGACAACCTTATTTCCCGGTGTCCCTACCCACAGGATCCTCACCTTGACTCGTGGGCCATGCCACGGGACCTAGGTGTCGCTGGGGGGGGGGGGTTCGCGGCGCCCCTCACCCGTCCAAAGGCGGGACTTCCGGTCCTGGCCCCACCTGGGCGGGATTTCCTGTTTTTTCTTGTAGAAGTGGGTCCTCCCTGGACCCCGGGCGTGGTGGGAATGGGTCTGAGCGGCGCAGCTGGTCCCCGACGTTCACCCTGCCCCGGCTCCAGCGTGCATGCTCGCGTTCCTCACCCCTCCGGGCGAGGGTCGCTTCCAGCTTGACAGGTGGGGGGCTTCGCTAGCATCCCTTAGGCTTTGGGGGCTTGCCCTTTTCTCACCGCTTCCTGGAGTCAGTTTCCTCACTCCCCCTCCCCTCTTCCTCACCTTTCTTCCCTCCACATCCCATATGAAGGGGCTAGTCGCCTTGCCGCCCCCCCCCCCCCCGCCCTCCCGTAGGGGACATGTCCCACCCCCAATCTTAAACTCCACGGGGGTGAGGCTCCTGAGAGGCGACTGGACCCGCTCCCAGAGGARGGGGCGGGAGGCTCCTAGCTCTTTGCTGCCCTGTTGGGGAGCAGTCCAGAGAGCCCTCAGGCCTTGGCAGAGAGGTTGTGTAAGTCCCTGGTCCTTTTTGCCCCTGCCTCTTGTCTGAGGTGCAGGGACCTTCACAACCTGCTTTGCCTCCGTTTTCACACTGGTCAGCTCTGTGGCCACCCCAAGTTCTAGTGCAAAGAGGTAGTTGGATCCTAATGTCCTCTTCTATTTTCTGCATGTACACATAGGGGGCCCAGGAAAGTGAGAGCCCAGGCCATGTCTGTCACTGTCAGGACCTGCCTGTGATTTTAGACCAGTCTGTACCTGCTCTGAGCCTGAGTTTCCTTCATCAGATGGAAAGAACTTGAGAGTGTAYGAGACACTGGACACCTCCCAGTGCTGCAGGACCTGGGGATCAGACAGACAGCGGTTTTAGCCCCTCTTCTGCCTTGTCCAGCTGTGTGCTTTCTGGCTAGTTTCTTAAGCTCACTGAGCCTCATTTTCCCCATCTGGATAAGAAGATCATGAATCTTCCCACCTGAGGCAGGCAGGATGGTCGGCAGGATTAAGAACTCTCTAGATCTTGTCCTAGTCCTGGCCTCAGCCCTGCTATTTCTGGCTGTGTGACCCTGGACAAGGTACTGAATTTCCCTGAGCCTGAGTTTGCAAGTGTAAAGTGGGGTGATACTCTCCCTTCCCCTTAGGGTGGGGAGTGAGATGAAGTTGATTCCACCCTCGGGCCCTGCCTGGAATATGGAATGTGTTTCGTGGACCTCCCTCCCAGCAGAGTTGTGTACTCCCTGAACCCTGTTGTGGGTTATCAGCCCCCACCTTAGTGAGCTGAGAGGAGGTGAGGTGAGGACATCGAGTTCCTGTACCCATTTCTGTGGTCACAAATCAAAAAGGGCCTGAAAGTTGAATTCCGATTYCTTGCTTCCTTTCACCCTGCCTCTGGTGGACTTGAATCCCTCCAGTGACAGGGTACWTAATTATGTCTCCAAGGAAGCTCCTCAGCTCCCCAGCAGCTCTGGCTTACTGCTTTGGTTAACGGGGAAGAAGGAGGGAAGAATGGCCCAGGGTCACATAGCTGGCTGGAATCAGGGCAGGAAGCCAGTCCCCTGCCTCTGGCCTTCCCACCGATGTTGTCCAGAGCTGACTTGTCCTAGAGACAGATTCCTGCTTAGGGGAGCTCGCAGTCTGATAAGAGAGGCAGTCAGTGGTACAGCTGTCACTAGCTGAGGTGACTTGACCAGGATGGAGGGAGCCTAAGCATTGTGGGGGCTGAGGAGGATGTCGTCCACTTGGGAACCAAGGAAGACTTACAGACAAGGTGGCAAGACAGCATCTCATAGGAAGCGCAAAGCTTTCAGCGGGTGGATTTCTAGGCAGAGAGCAGCTCACATGGCTTTTTTTCCCCCCTTTATTCAATCCTTTCCTGAGGGGATTGGCTGTAACAGGAGGTTGCTCTGATGCAGGAGCCCCAAGGAGGGGAATTGGCTTAATCAGGGGTGARGGAAGTTTCATTCACACAGGATGAGTGACTGGTTGGCCTTGAATGGAGGTYCAGTCTTCCAGGTGTGGGGACCACCTTGTCCTGGGAATTCCGCAAGTGGTAGGGTCAGCTCTTGGTGGAGATGACCCTCTGGGCCTCATGTTATGTGACTGGAGGCTGGGGTGATGGTGCAGCTTGTTCAACAGAAATGCAGTGCCAGCCTGCCAGTTTCCTAGAAGCCACTGGAAAAAGAAAACAGATGAAATTTATTTCTGCCATCTGTTTTATTTGGCCAGTATGTGTAACTGCCATCCTTTCAACATGGGGTCCAGAGTGAGTGACTGCTACCGAGCAGTTTTGCCTTCTGCTTCTTCATACTGTCTTCAAAACCCGGCATGGCTGTGACGCTCATAGCACCTCTCTGCTTGTAGCTGCCACATTCCAAGGACTCCTGACTCRCATGTGGGACAGGGCAGAGCCAAAAGGAGACCTGGGGCTGGGAAAGGACAGTGCAGATATTTGGGGCAGGAGGGAGGTGGGTGTGAGTGAGGGGTGGTGTGAGGGGCCCGGGGAAGTAGCAGGTTTGCAGAAAGCACCAAGCTTAGCGGGGCAAAGTGGATGTGAGGGACATGAGTGGCATCCAGGGGGCAGGTGGACGAGGCTGGGAGGGAACAGTATGGGCACCTGAGCCTCATCCCCCTTTGTCCTGCTTTGGCCCACAGGGCGCTGATGGCGTCAGGGCGGCCGGAGGAGCTGTGGGAGGCTGTGGTGGGGGCCGCCGAGCGCTTCCGGGCCCGGACAGGCACAGAGCTGGTGCTGCTGACGGCTGCGCCACCACCACGCCCGGGGCCCTGTGCCTATGCAGCCCATGGCCGTGGGGCCCTGGCTGAGGCTGCCCGGCGCTGCCTCCATGACATTGCCCAAGCTCATAGGGCAGCTGCTGCTGCCCGGCCCCCCGGGCCCCCACCAGAACCACAGCCGCCCAGCCCTGCCCCAAGCCCACCCCAGGCTGCCCTGGCCAGGGAGGATGAGGAGGACGAGGAGGATGAACCAACGGAGACAGAGACCTCCGGGGAGCGGCTGGGTGGCAGCGATAACGGAGGTAAGAAGGTGCCAGGCAGGGGCTGGGGATCTGGTCCTGGCTAGCTGCCTGCTGTGACTCTCCKGGGGGGGCCGAGGCCCTTGGGACTGTGTCTCGTGAAACGTCACCCAGCAGCCACCCCAGTCAGGGGGCAGCCAGCTTGCAGGGGTTCCTCCCAGAGGCTGCACTCRACACTGAGGTTCTGAGGAGTGAGAGAGAGTGCAGGGGAATCAATTAATAGGAATTACTGTCTGTTGTCACCAATGCCTGGCCTCGGCCTCCTCCCATTGCTGGACAACACCTGCCAAGAAGGAAGGTACAGACAGTAGCCAGGTGTGCGTAGTTGAAATCCTGGTGATGTCACTTACTTGCTGTGGGATCTCCAGCCAGCGACACAATCGTTCAGAGCCTCTCCTTTTGTCAAGCAGGTGTCACAATGTGGCATTTTCTGTAAGCCTATGTTCTGAGTCACATTGATTGTCCAAAACAGATCTTAGAGGCTCCTTGTTAGCCAGGGTATTTTTTGCATCTGAGGGTGTGACAGGTTGACAGATGAATTCTCCTCATGACCGGACAGATAACGAGCACCGTGTATTTGAGGCTGAGAGACTAATAATTGCAGGAGCCCCCAGAAAGCAGTGACAGTGGCTGGAGTTGGGRCACTTGTAGCAGGATAGCAACCTGACTGGCCAGGGCCTCTTGACACCATCCTCAGGGCTCTTTGTGATGGATGAGGATGCAACCCTCCAGGACTTGCCCCCCTTCTGCGAGTCAGACCCTGAGAGCACAGATGGTGAGTGTCCCCCGCTATCCCCACACCCAAGAACCAGGAATGCTAACGGGGACAGAGGCTGAAGTACCCCTTTCTCACAGATGGCAGCCTGAGTGAGGAGACCCCAGCTGGCCCCCCAGCCTACTCCATGCCCCCAGCCTCGGCGCTGCCCACACAGCAGTATGCCCGGTCTCTGCCAGTGTCGGTGCCTGTCTGGGCCTTCAAGGAGAAGAGGACAGAGGCCCGGTCATCAGATGAGGAGAACGGGCCGGTGAGGGGCAGGTGGGGCTGGGGAGGAGGGAGGCTAGACAGGCTCAGAGCCACCTGCTGCACGAAGCCCTCAGATCTGCTGCCTTCTCACCTGTGAGCTCACTGAAGCCCACTCAGCCGTGAGAGGCAGGTTTCCAGCCACAGGCCTGCAGCTGTAGCCATGCTGTTCGGTTCGGAAGGCCTCCTCTGCGCTCCTGGGGTAGCTCCAGCTACCAAACACTGGAACTCCTTGAAGCCATGAGGAAACTGAGGCACTGAGAGGACGCATGGCCTCCCAGAGGTCTGAGACTGGAACCCAGCTTCCTTTAGAAGAGCAGTGGGCTGCAAGGGAGAAGGCCTGGCATTGTCCCCCTCAAGACTCAGTGTCCATTTACTTAGAGATGAGTGATCTGACGCTGGGCAGAAAAATGGGCGTGGGGGGTCTGTCGCCCATTTTTCTGCCCCCAGGTTGTAGAAGGGCCCAGTGAGGCATCAGGTACAGCGCTGCTGTCCATGTTGGCAGCTTATGGTCACACATTTAACCGATTGAACCTTCAAGGCCTCCTAGTACTGGACCCTGGGCTGTCCTCCTCATGGGCTCCTGACCAACTAGTGCCTATGGCCTCTCCCAGCCTACTGGAGGGCTTTGATGGTGGATATGAGGGTCCTTTCTATGCAGACCACCTGATAGTTCACCTTCCTTGCTCCATCTCTGAGATGGCTATCCAATTTCAGCCCTCCCGGGGCCCTGTTATACCCATCTTTCAGAAGGGGAGACTGAGGCCTAGGAAGGCAAAATCTCTTTATGTACAGCTAACTAGTCCCCAGCAGAGGTCTGATTGGAATGTGACTGGATCTTTAGCCCAAATGGTGCCTGAGACCCCTCCCTGCGGTGGGACAGGCAGCTGTGGTGGCACACAGGTCAAGATGGGGAGGGGGAGAGGCCAACAAAGCTGCCAGAGGAGGTGTGAGTTGGGTAGAAGAATGGAGCAAGAGAGCATGGCTGGCGGTGGGCATCGCAGGGCCCAAGCGGGAGGGTCGGGACCAGCTGGGAGCGGGCCTGTCGCCCAGGGTGCAGGGGCTGAGTGCTGGAGCTCTGGGTGTGTGCCGCGGGCCCTGAGGGTGCTGACCCACCCCGCCCTCTCTGCAGCCCTCCTCGCCGGACCTCGACCGCATCGCGGCGAGCATGCGCGCTTTGGTTCTGCGGGAGGCTGAGGACACCCAGGTCTTCGGGGATTTGCCACGACCTCGGCTCAACACCAGCGACTTCCAAAAGCTGAAGCGGAAATACTGAGGCCCACAAAGCTTCCCGGGCCGCGTCCGCCCCGCCCACACTACACCCCCGCCGCGCCCCCAGGGCTGGCCAATCTCAGCCGGAGCCGGGACAGTCCYCACGAATCGGCGGTCCCGGGACTGGCCCGCCCTGCACTTCCCGCCGCCCTTCCAGCCCTCGATCTCCCGCCCAGGAGTGCGATCCGGCCACTCYTCGCGTGGGGTCTGTCGCCCATTTTTCTGCCCAGCGTCAGACTCTGATTGCTTCGGCCGCCGTCGGGCCAGGCCGGTCCCRAACCTCCCGGGGTCAGCTCGGCCTCAGCGAAGGTCCCTGAAGGAGCACTGCCAAGCCCAGGAGTGGGTGGTGGCCCTGACTCGAGCCTGGTGACTGGGCAGCTCTGTGATTGGCTGGAGTCTCCCGAGGCCCGCCCGCCCGCCCTTCCAGAATTGTCCCACCTCACTGGCTCCGCGGGGACAGCGGCCAAGCCTCCGGCGCCCACAACTGCGGCTTCCAGTTTATGGCTTTACACTACTGGGCTGGGGTCTTTTTTTGCCCCTAGTCCTGACAGTTGTGACCCTGGCCACCTCAGGGATGGCCCAGTCCCGTGTCTGCGTCTGACACCCCACCTCATTGATTCCATCCCAAAAAACCTGCCAATCCAAGCCCGTCCCTGCGTCCAGGACGGAACCAGCTCCCGCTCCTCTTCCCCCACCCCCACAGGTGCCTTAAAGGGCCCTCGTCCACCAGAGGTGGAGGGCAGGGGGCTCACTCTCCGGCCCTGGTGTGGGGGAGAGAGTGGGGGGGGTCGGAAGTTGGGAGRGGCGCTCTGAGATTAAAGAGTTTTACCTCTATGAGTGTGTGTGAGGTGTGTTAGGTGTTCTACATTTTTCCGAAGACGGAGAGCAGCAGTTAATTGACTCTCGGTGCAAAGCTGAATGTTGGAATTTTTTGAGAGAGTAAGAGAATTTTCTTTAGTTTTCGGSGAGCACAACTTTTTTTTWAAATGTGGTGCTGAGGATCGAACCCGGGCCGCACGCAWGYCAGGCGAGCGCGCTACCGCTTGAGCCACATCCCCAGCCCCTTGTCTCGGTTTTAATTTAAATTCACTGGGTCGTGGAGACCACTTCAGTCCTATGTGASTATGGAACTCCAACCTTAAGCGGAATGAGTGATGGAATCGTAATGGCCCTTAATAGGTCTCTGGAGAGCATGCTAAGGTTCCCAAACAAATCCAGGAATCTTCAGGCGGGCGTTTCCCACAAGAATGCTGGGGGCGATTAGACAGCAGGTGGAACCTGGTTCGAAGTCAGGACTAGGTTCAGCCGGCTCGCTGGAGCACACGTCGTAACCCCAGCGACTCAGGAGGTTAGCAAGCTCAAGGCCAACCTTAGCAATTCAGCGAGACTCTGCCTCAAAATAAAAAAGGGCTGGGGGGAAGGTGGCTCGGTGGCAGACCACCTCTGGATTCAATCCCCAATACCAGAAGCAAAAAAAAAAAAAAATAGGGAAAGGTAAAAAATGGAATCTTCATCCCCTATCGTCAGACTACCACCTGAGAAGTGTTAACAATGGAAAAAGACAAAACAGCCTTACTGTCGCTCACTTACATACATCAACTCTTTATCTTCCTATTAACCCACAACTGGGAAGGATTATCTCCACTTCATAGATGCGGATTTAACTGCAGCATCGGGGGTAAAACAAAAGTAGGATAGATGACTAGGGGGCYTGAATTTCTTTTACTGACGATGGTCGTCAAGTCGGAAAGCTTCCTCCTGTTGCAATTTTCTCCAGCAAAGAAGATTAAAATAAGAGGATAACGTGTAAAGGGAAAAAAAGTCTATGGATGGAGGATCCACTCCGCCTAACGGCATGAGGCTCGCGACGCCGCAAGAGGGAAGAAGGGCAGAGCGGCAGAAGGACCCTAAGCACTGGAGGGGGCGGGGCTAGGACAGTCATTTCCGYTCGCCGGAAGCTGAAAGCCGCCCTCTGGGTAGCGGGCAGAACCTCTCGCAGAGTCTTCCTGGTCGGAGCGGCGAGCACGGGTGAGAGTTGGGGATGTACGCGCGACGTTCTTGGCCTTTGCCGGGAGAGGTGGGAACTTCACTCACCGGGGATTGGGGCCGGCCTTGTCGCCTGAGAAGCGACAGCGAGGGGGTGGGATTTCCGGGGCCGGTAACCGAGGGAGGGGAACCTTGGTGCCGGAAGGTGGAGGCGGGGCTTCCTGTAGTTCACGAGGACGACCTGTCGCTCAGACCCCAGAATCTACTTTCCCCTAGGCCGGCAGCAGGATGGCTGAGGAGGAGGTCCAGGGCCGCCTGTGGCTGGAGAGCGCCGCTGGGGGAGCCCCTCCCATCTTCCTGCCTTCTAACCGGCAGGCTCTGGTCCTGGGCAGGGGTCCCCTCACTCGTGTTACGGACCGGAAGTGCTCCAGAAACCAAGGTGGGGACGGGCTTGAGCGGGAAGGGGTGTGGCCTGCTCTAGAGGCGGGAACGAGATCCTAAAGAATGATGCACCCAGGGACGCTCGGCTACTAGGCACAGTTGCGTGGTGCGTCCAGCCCAGGAGTCGATTGGTGCCTTCTGGGGAGCGCAGAAGGAGAGGCTGTACCTGACCTTGGGGGAGAGGGTGTGGAGCCAACCCCGGGAGAATTGTCAGTGGGCACCGGAGGCTGCTGTCGGGCCATTTGAAGGTTTAAAACTGGCCGCCACCTTTGTGAAGAGAGGTGATCCTACAGAGAAAAGTAAAAGCCGGGTGGACGTGGATGGTAACAGGGCAAGCCCAGGGCCTGCGTCAAGCCTCGCTTATTATTATTTATATGAAAGTATCTGCCCTGTTCGTAGGCAAGGACCATGCCACACGCAGTCCTAGGGACTCAGTGGGAGCCAATCCCATTGAGAAATAAACTGTCTCCTACTYCCTCCGGAATGGATGCTGTAGCTCCATTCTGTGGCCTGAAACTGGCCACCGCTCCCCAGTATGAGGGTGCCCTTCACACAAGGATGCGATCCTGACCCCACCCCCTCATCCCCTAGTGGAGCTGGTTGCAGACCCTGAGACCCGGACAGTGGCTGTGAAACAGGTACCAGTGCTTCAGCAAGGGGCAGCAGTGTCTGGGGGTAGGGTCTGGAGGGGAGTTGCAAACTGGCAGGGGATAGACCCAKTAGAAAACTGGCCAGAAGAAGGGGGTGTGCTGGTGAAAAAGAGTTGTGGGTTTTATTTGGGTATCCATCTGTCCCCTTTCAACTGGGCAAGACTGGAAGCCTGTAAGGGTCTGATTGGTAGGTGGACTAAATCACCCTGTGGTATTGGGTGGGGGGGAGGTTYTCACAGTGGGTGGAGCTGGTCCCAGCCCCTCCCTCTTTCTCTGCAGCTGGGCGTTAACCCTTCAACTGCTGGAACCCAGGAGTTGAAACCAGGGTTGGAGGGCTCTCTGGGGGTGGGGGACACACTATATTTGGTCAATGGCCTCCACCCACTGACCCTGCGCTGGGAAGAGACCCATACATCAGGATCCCAGCCAGATACTCCGCCTGGCACCTCTCCAGTAGCTTCAGATGAAGAGCAGGAGGAGGATGCTAAGCAGCAGAAAAAGCGCTTAAGGATGTCATCCCCTGGCTGGGAGAGCTTGGAGAAGCTGCTAGTGTTCACAGCACCTGGGGTGAAGCCTCGGGGCAAGGTGAGGCTGCTGGAGGTTCTGCCTTAGGCTGGGCATTCAGTCTGAACTTCAAATGTGATCCTAGGCAAGGCTGTCAGCCTCTTAGCCTTGGGGGAAATGTGTGTTGGTCTCTGCTGCCCCTTGGTAGCCACCCAGGAATCAGTAGGATGACCAGGAACAGGTCAGCAGGGGCTCTTCAGACTGCACTTAGATGTAGTCAAGGCCATGCTGAGTCTACATCTCACCTCTGAAATGATGACTTCCCAAAAAGTATGTGGCCTTGGTCCCTGACAGGCAGTGGGCACCCAAAAAAAGCTTTGCTCTGGTTTTATTTCCCCTGTAGTTATTAATCTCCAAGGTGTAAAAGCYCAGGGGAGGAGATTAGGTAAGAAACTAATCCTCATTTTAATACTAGAAATGCAGAGGTGGGGTGGACACAGGAGTGACAGGACAGTAGGATTTCAGGTGCTGCGTACAGAGGTATCTGTGCCTCATCCCTGTTGGGTCATATCTACAGAAAACCATCTCCCTGCATCGAAGTGTTATTGTGACTCATCCTGTGAGTGAAGAAACAGGTATCTCAATGCTGCCCCTCCTSTGTTCTTGGTGACACCAGGTAGCTGCCTTTGATTTGGATGGGACCCTCATCACCACCCGCTCTGGGAAGGTGTTTCCCACTGGCCCCAGTGACTGGAGGTGAGGAGGGGCAAGGGAAGGGAGTGAGTGGAGCTGGTTGACCCCTCCAGGCCCCAGGTCACTTGTCCACTTCCCACCCACTCCAGGGTCTTGTACCTAGAGATTCCACGCAAGCTGAAGGAGTTGGAAGCAGAAGGCTACAAGGTCTGTGCCTATGTGAGCAAGCGCGACAGGGTCTCTGATGAGGAGGCCCTGGTGACATTGTCTACTCCCTAGCTGGTGATCTTCACCAACCAGATGGGCATTGGACGAGGGAAACTGCCAGCAGAGGAGTTCAAGGCCAAGGTGGAGGCTGTGGTAGAGAAGCTGGGGGTTCCCTTTCAGGTATGACTAGAATGGAGGCTAGGGCCAGGGTAGGGTAACAAAGACCCTTGGGTGGGAGACAAACCCAGAGAGAGTCCCTGGGATGTATGGGACAGAGGCCTCTGCTGGGGTCAAGCCATGAGCAGTTGTCATGAGCTATATATCYCAGAGCATGAGCAGCTCTTTGGGGCTTGGAAGGGCTGAGGATGGTGTGTGACCCCTGCCCCACTTCAGGTGCTGGTGGCTACCCATGCAGGCCTGTATCGGAAGCCGGTGACTGGCATGTGGGACCATCTGCAGGAGCAGGTGAGCTGTACCTCTTCCCCTTGCTCCAGCCCCTGTTTCTTGGGGCTTGTTCCTTTCTCTCCTCCCTTAGTCCTTGTCGTGTGGTTTAGCTGTCAGTTCCTAGGTGCTGGTATATGAGGCCAGTACTATTAAGCTGAAGTCAGAGGTTGCATCAGGAGCAGAAACAGGAGGGTAAGTTTGAGTCAGCCTGGGCAACTTAGGGAGACCCTGTCTCAAACTATAAAATAAGCCGGGCACGGTGTCGCATGCATGAAATCCCAGCGGCTCAGGAGGCTGAGGCTGAGTTCAAAGGCAGCTGATCAAACTCACTGATCATGAGTTCAAAGCCGGCCTCAGCAAAGGTGAAGCATTAAGTAACTCAGTGAGACCCTGTCTCTAAAAAAAATACAAAATAGGGCTGGGGATGTGGCTCAGCTGTAGAGCACCTGCCTAGCATGTCTTGAGTCACTGGGTTCCATCCCTAGTACCACCAAAAAAAAAAAAAAAAAATCAGTGGTTGAGATTGTTCATTCATTCAACCAATGGTTTGTTCTGAGCTGAAAATCCTGGTAAATAATAGTGGCATGCCCACTCTAGCAGTACTCGCAGACCGCTGATGGCAGCCAGCTATAAATGCACACATGAGTATAAAATAGGAAGTAGGGTGTGATTTTCCTACGGTAGCCAGGGGGACCTCTCTAAGAAGGTGACATTTGAGTAAAAGTCTAAGGGAGGTGAGGGAAGAAGCCACATGGATATCTGCAGAAGTGGTCCTGGCCAGAGTGACAGCTGGTGTGAAGGCCCCAAGCCTTGTGTGTTCACCAGTGTGGATGTCCACCTGGTGGACCCAGGTGAGTGAGAGGGTGGGGCCTCGCCTTGGGGCCATGGGAGCAGAGTAGGAACACATGTGGGGTCTAAGCGGGGATGGGAGCCTGGAAGCCTATCTGCTCTGGCCTGAGTCTGGGCAGTGAAGCGTGAGAAGCGCTGTGATGGTGAGGATTTGAGAGGTTTGAGATCTGGCCTGATGCAGGGCACAGACCAAGAGGAGCTGCCCCAGGGAGCCCTTTACTGYGGAGGGACAGTTGTTAGGAGCGGGTTCTGTTTGTCTCTCCAGGCCAACGAGGGCGTGCCCATCTCTGTGGGGGACAGCATCTTCGTGGGAGGTAAGGGCTTGGGGCTGCTGCGGGTGGGCCGAGACCCTTCTCACCAAACCTGCTGGCAGTGAAGGGTATCCTCGTGCGTTCTAGATGCAGCAGGCCGCCCAGCCAACTGGGCCCCTGGCCGTAAGAAGAAAGACTTTTCCTGCGCTGACCGATTGGTGAGCCGGTGACCGATTGGGGATCGGTCACCTGGGGATCAGTCACCAATGGTGAGCCCYGCACCCCGCCCTCAACCTCTGCCTCACCTCTGCCTTTGCCCCAGTTTGCACTCAACCTTGGCCTGTCCTTCGCCACCCCGGAGGAGTTCTTCCTTAAGCAGCCCRCAGCAGCCTTTGTCCTCCCAGCATTTGACCCGGTGAGGCCCGAGGGGTGGAAGGCAGGGAACAAGCAGGGGAATGAGGGTCTCAACTTCTTGTTCCACCCCTCTAGAGGACTGTCTCCTGTTCAGGGCCTCTCTGCCTCCCAGAGTCCAGCTCCCTCCTGAGCTCTGACCCAGAGGTGGTTGTCGCCGTGGGATTCCCTGGGGGTGAGATATCCTGATCCCCATCTCTGGGTGCTGTAAGTGTCCTTCTGGRTCCTGGGTATCCACTGATAGTGATCTTGTGCCTCTCAGCTGGGAAGTCCACCTTCCTCAAGAAACATCTCGTGTCAGCTGGGTACGTCCATGTGAACAGGGTAAGAGGCTGCCACGCACCATCCCACTGGTTCATTCCCTGGCTGCCCCAACCGGGCCTTCAGGGCTGCTGCCCAGCACCCCTGCCTCCCTCCTGCAGTTCTGATTTGTTGCCCTGCCCCCACCAGGACCCCCCCCTTTCATCTTCTGTTCCCTGTTGGGCAATTCCTGCTTGTGACCTGCTCTCCTCTGTCCCCAGGATACGCTAGGCTCCTGGCAGCGCTGTGTGAGCACCTGTGAGGCAGCTCTGAAGCAGAGGAAACGCGTGGTGATCGACAACACAAATCCAGACATCCCCACCAGGGCCAGGTATTTGGCCCCCATGGGAGGTCTCTAGTAGGGCTGGCAAGGGCCTGGTGACAGCGCTTTTCCTGGCCTCAACAGGTATGTCCAGTGTGCCAGGGATGCAGGTGTTCCCTGCCGTTGTTTCCTCTTCACTGCCACATTGGAGCAGGCTCGCCACAACAACCGGGTGAGCCCCTGCCCTCCCGCTCCCTCTTGCCCTGCCCCTCCCTCCCCCTGATGTCCTCACTCTGAACCCTCCCCTAACAGTTCCGGGAGATGACTGGCTCCTCTCACACACCAGTGTCAGATGTCGTCATATTCGGCTACAGGTAACTCTAGTTAGTAGGCTGTGGGCTGGTAGGGCCTGGCCTCTCCTTACCACCCTTTCTGCTACCAGGAAACAGTTCGAAGCTCCTACGGTGGTGGAAGGCTTCTCTGCAATCCTGGAGATCCCATTCCAGCTGCAGCTAGAGCCGCAACTAGAGCGACTCTACCGGCAGTTCTCTGAGGGCTGAGTTGCCCAGCCCCATGCTCCCCTCCCTGACCTGGCAATAAATACTATTTTTCTCCAAGCTTGGCCAGCATTTTGCTGGGAGGAAGGGTGGTCATCTTGGAGGTGCGTCACCAGGCCTGGGCCAACACCCCCCCACACACGCACGCACACATGCACACTTTTCTACATTTTCAGGTTAACAGAAAAGGAGGGACCTGGACTGGCTCAGGCTGGTCCTCTGCACATCTCATGTTCTACACCAAACCACTCCACCCACCTTGGGCTGTGGAAAGATGTCACTAGGAGGTTGTCATGAGCAGGTCGAACAAGAGACTGAGATGAGACATGGGAATGTAAGACACTGAATGGGCCCCTCTAAGCTAGCCAGAGCTTGGCTCAAGATGACCCATGAGGGGCACAGTGATTGCAAGCTTGCCTAATCATGTGTGAGGCCCTGCATTCAACTCCCAGTACTGCATGAGGACAAAATATCCAGGGTTCAGGTTCTATTGCATTGGACTTGAATGCAGGGGATGTGGGTCTTGGACCTGCCTATGGATCCCCCTCCAGCTACAGGAGGCAAAAACGCCCCTGACCTATGCTTTCTTCCAGGTAAGTCCAGGGGAAAGAAACCATGAGCACTACCTGCAAGGCCCTGGCACCAGGTACTGGAAACAGAACCAACACACAGCTTCATGCTTCTGACACAAAGGCCCCAGGAGGTGAGGCCACCAAACACCCTTACCCGCTTAATTACAGCTGGGGAAGATCCCAAGTCAGGTAACTTGGGGGCTCCACACTGAGCCCCACTTTMCTTCCCACACTGGGTAACGAGGATCTCAAAGAGCAACTCCTGATCAGTAGTCACAGCTTTTCCCTTGTAACCTGCTAAGTACACATACTTCCYAGCGAACACCATCAACAGCTCAAAYGCTGAGCCAGCCCTGGGGACATAAAAACACTCAGGTGAGGACTGCTGCTAGGACAGGGGTCAGTCTCCCGCCTTGTTGTCTGACCCTGCCACAGCATCACATGGAGCAGGAGAGCTGCCCAGCACTCGGGCAGTGAGCTGAGCTGACAAGTAGATTTTTAAAAGAYTTTATTGGGGAAATGCAAAGGGATGGGGACTGTCCTTCGAGACCTCAGGACGCTGTCCTCTGTGTTGCTGGGCAGTTGTAGTCCCAGGGGCCCCAGCACAGAAGCATCTGACCTGGGAGGCAGGGGATATAGTGGAAAGAGCTGGACACAGCACCTCAGCAGCCCCAGGCCTTGAAGCTGCTGCCCCAGATTCAATTCCCTGCTAGAGTGGGGCTAGTATTCCCAGGTGGCCACAGAACACTGGGGACCACAATGTTTTTTTCTCTCTGGTCTTCCCCAGGCCAGGGACACCCTGCTTCTTCCTAACACCCCAGGCAAGTCTGAGGAGATCCATCTGCACTGAACAGGGTCAGCACTCACCAGTCTCTGCAGGGGCCTCATCTGTGACTCCTGGAGGGCCTGGTCTTGGGGAGGGGCACTACCCCCCCATCTGCAGAGGAAGTCAGGGGGAGAGTCAGCGGTAGGGAGGGTGGGAGTGGAAGGCAGGTATTGGGGATGGCCTCACCCCTCGCTGCTGCTGCTCCTGCTCCAGATTCCGCTGAAGGACCTGCTGCTGGTTGGCTATGACACGCCGGATACCATTGACAAAGTTGCTCTGGTCGTGGGGGATGAGGCCAATGAAGATCTTCTTCTCCGAGGAGTACAGGAGCATGAGCACGCGGATCTCACATGAGGCTTTATAGGAAAAGTGCACGCAGCCAGCCTGGCAGGGTAGGGGACGTGTCAGAGGTGGTTRTTCCTCACACTCTTCCCGCATACTACCTCCCTTAGCCCCAAKGTGGTGCCACTGAGTACACTGCCAGCCCACTGCTGCCCACTGCCCTGCCTTACCGCCCCATCTGGAGGACAAGGAGACCAAGGCCAGGAGCAACCAGTGGACCAGAACCCACAGGCTTCTGCGGAATGACCCAGCAGTTTGTGCAAAACATGTGCTGCTGAAGCCCAAGAGGTTGCCGCACATGAGGCCTCCAAAGAGCCCATCAGGACAGACAAGTGGCACTAAGCACAGTGCCTCCACCTCATGCGAACCCCACCTCCTGCTGGGGGACATGAAGCAAAGCTGCTGCAGATGGCGCCAAAGCCCCCACCGTGATCAGGTGTCTCAGGCAGGCCTAGGACACTGACATGGCTGTCCCTGATGGAGCTCACTGGGTTCTACCCAGAAAGTCACCCCTCCCACTTTATAGAAATAAAACCAAGGTGGGGGGGGACTCATAAGTTCCACCAAAACCAGAAAGAACTGGGCAGCCTCAGGCCTGGGCACTGCCTCAGGGGACTGTGGTGTAAGGGTCCCAGAGGAAATTGTGCCTGTGCCCACCAGAGCCATTGGAAGGGAGAGGCCTAGGAGAAAATGGGGCCTTAACAGATTTCCCAGATGAAGGATTTCAGGGCTATCATTCATTACAGACTAATGGAGAGGTAAATAACAATGGTTCTTGTAGACTGATGTCATCCAGGCACAGCAAGTACCCAGAAGGAGACATCCTTGGCTGAGAGTTCAGAATCACAGAAGGCTACCTTTCCTCACCTCTGATGGGGAAATAGGTCCAGAGAAAGGGAAAGACTCAGCCAAAACCCCACAGACGAGACAATCCCAAGTGCATGGGACCTGGGCTGGAAGCAGACCGACCTCCTGTCTGGGAGGTGCCCTCCAGCAAGGGACATAAGCTCAGAGCTGGGGAGGGGAAGGGTGAGGAAGACCACAGGTGGGACCTAGGATACTGACTAGGTGCTTTAGTGATGCGCAGTGACACCAGGTCCTGAGACTAAACTAGGACGTGGCATTAGAAGGGTAGGTCTGGAACCCATACCAGTTGCCTGTCTRCAACAGAATCAGGAGAGCTGAGAGAATGAGGATATCTGTCTGGAGCAGCACAGGTGCCTGTGCAGGACACATTCCCACTCTTGGGCACAGCCATTCTGGCTGGCTCTGTGGAAAGTTACACTGATCCACTCCGTTTGTCTCTAAACCCAAGAGCAGCCGCCGCCTCCTACCCCAGCTGGACTTCCCCTGAGGCTCCAAGCAACATATTGCTCAGTGGCCTCTGCCTGTGCAAGCCCCACTCACAAAGCCGTTGTCCATGATCCGGCACAGGCTCTTCAGCGTCTCCATGTCCTTGGTGAAGTGGAACTGCACCAGGCGGGAGTTCCGAAACAGTGGCACCAAAGTGGTCTGTGGGGAAACCAAGGGACTGACTCCATGGTCCCCTCCCTCGGGTCACCCACTACCCACACCAGTCAATGACAATCTSTTAATGCTGTACCAACCTGCGCTTCAGCTCAGAAAAATGTCACCTCTGCAAATGCTGGGAACCTGAAAGTYCTGCCCTCCTCCTACTCCTTACTCACCTCTGCCCCTCATTTCCTCTCATGGCAGCCTGCACCAAGTCTGGACCTCACTCAACTAAAGCCACAGCAGTCCACATCAACCCTGTCTCCACGCCCCTCCTCCACCTGCTGGACAGGCTGCACAGCCCAAGGCCTCTGCCACTGCTTCYYTCCACCTTTAGCTGGTCTCGCTGCTCCAGCTGACAACTTCAGAGCCACCTCCTCGGGGAAGCCCCCCACAGCCCTGATGTCACATCCACAACTTGCCATCCAACTCACCAGCAGCTGCTGTGGGATGAGCTGCATGTACAGCTTCCTCGGCCACTGCTCAGTCCTCCTGTGGGCACAAGGATGGAGTMAGGAGTACGTCTTGCTAGAAAGTAGCCTCTGCTCCCAAATCTAACACTCACAAGATCTCTCCTTGGTTCACGTAGACATGGGATGGCAACCACCTCTTGGACCGACTGTTGGGCTCAGGCCTAGGCTTTGGGGACAGAGAAAGAGAGGAGCCTCAGGGGTGGGACACTAGATGCCAGCAGCCGCTGAAGCCCAGAGGCAGTGAGATACATTGGGTCCAGGTCCCCAGCCTGCCAGGACTCACCTCCTGCCACTCCATAACACCACTCCATGCCAGGAATTTGTTGTTGACAATTTGGACAGGGCCTGAATGGACTCCACCAGGTCCCACCACCTGTGGGGGAAAAAGGCAGGGTGGGCCATGCACCAGGAGAGGCTCTGCTATAGAGGAGGCTCCCTGGACCACTGTCMTAGGGCTCCTGAGCCTTCCTCCTGCCCTGGCCTGTCAGCTCCAGCCCTGTCTATCCTCCCACCTCCGTCTCCGCCTTGATCACAGCCCCAGGGAAACCTCAGGTGGCTTTGCCCCTTGACTGCTGAATACCTCCTTGTGACTCCCAAGGGTCCAGAGACGAGTCTCATCCCCTCACCTGGTGTATGAAGCCCACAGAGCCTATAATTTGTTGTAAAACCTGGTACACTTCTCAGAAATGGTAGCACTATCAGTAATTGACAGGCATGAACCAGGACACACGTCACCCTCCAGAGCCTTTTAGCCTCACACCACCTTCCCTGAGATAWGTATGCCAGACCTAAGTTGCCTCCCTGTTCCCGAGGCTCTTCTGCTGCCAGCACCCACCATCCATTGTCCCTCCAGCCCAAGCCTGACAAGCCATTTGTCCCACTGAACCTCGATGGAAATGAGCCACTGACTCCTTGGAGCTCCCTAACGCTCCTTGCTCCAGCTATCATACCATGCTCTGCCCACGTCCACCAGCTAGGGGCCAGGCTGCACTGGACTGGCACACCTGACCTGTTTGCGCGTAGTGATGACCTGCCGTATGGCATTGACGAAGCCACTCTGGTCATAGGGGATGAGGCCCATGAAGATCTTCTTCTTGGACGAGTACAGGAGCATGAGCACGCGTACCTCGCAGGGGGAGATGTGGGGGAAAAGCATGCAGCCCGCCTGGGGGAGAGGCCAGCAGGTCAGGAACCCCGGACACTGCTGAGGAGCCACTCGCCCTCCACACTACCCGGAGACCGAGAGGAGCACAAGTCGTCAGAGTCCAGGCCGTGGTCTTCCTGCAGGGCTTGCAGTTACAGTGTACCTTTCTAAGAAYATGTGCTGTGTCTCAGCATCTCCCCTACCCTGCAGTGACTCAGGCTGGGGTGGCATCTTGGACCCACACTGTGGTGTGAAGATCCTGAGAGGCTCCACCT